GTGGTCAGAAGTGTCAAAAGTGAAATACTGTAGTGGTATTCAGAGAATATTGTATGTGATGTAAATGAAAACAATAGTTTTTCTTTATATCCATGCAGTGTATTTTTCATCTCAGGTAATATTTTTTAATCTCTGGACTTTCAATTTGAGTCTTTTTTGCGTCTTCCTTGTCTCCTCTGAACCTTTTAGATACACTGAATACAATTATAACTGTTTCAATCTTCTCTGTTCATTCTAACATCTTGATGCCAACATCTTGGATCTCTGTGCACCGATGTTGAACCGAAATATGGAGACAGAGTTTTGGAGGAAGAGAAAGAATAGCTTTATTCTTTGCCAGGCAAAGAGGGAACACAGTAGGCTAGCACCTCAAGAACTGTGGCCCCCTCCCTGGGGAATAGGAAGAGGTCTTATAGTTGGGGCTCACGGTCAGGAGTATGTGATAAGGATCAAGGCAGTAACAGTCTTGCATTCTTCTTTCTTCTGCAAAGTTTCAACACAACACCGGGTCTGGTCATCTCCAAGGGTGGGGTTGCTGACAAGATTAAGGTGTGTGCAGCATCTCAGGTGGTTGATGAGCTTCCCTGGTCCCCTTAATCTGGCCTTAGGTGGTTTCACGGCTGCTCCTCCCTTGATTAGCAACTGTTCCAGTCTGCCCTTTGGAACCCAGGAGAGGTCATGCAGGCTGGAGTCTTGCCTCCAAGAAATGGGGAACAAAAAGACCTCCATGCCTGGGAGCCCCACAGGGCCCCACTTGGTTTCAATCTGTGTCAGTTCTGGGCCAGTTTTTATTGACTGATTATTCTCTTCATTATGGGTCATGCTTTCATGTCTTGTATCTGATTGGATGCTAGTAATTGTGAGTTTTACCTTGTTGGGTGCTGGATAGTTTTTGCATTCCCGTAAGTTTTTCTTGAACTTTTTTCCCGGGATGAAGTTCAGCTACTTGGAAATGGTTTGATTTTTTTCAAGTCTTGCTTTTGTGCTCGTTGGACATTTTCTGGACTAGTGTTCAGCTTAGGGCTAACTATTCCCCATCACTGAGGCAAGACCCTACTGAGTACACACTTTACCCAGTGCCCCATGGACTAAATTTCCCGTCTGGCTGCTGGGAACAGGCATTGTTCCTGGTACTCACTGTTCCTTCTAAACCCCCCCTTGCAGGTGGTTCATTCCTCAGTCTCGTGGATGCACTGATCAGCAGTCTACTGAATACTCAAGGGGACCCTCTCCCTGATCTTTGGGGTTCTCTCTTTGTGCAGCTATGTGTTCTCTGGTTCTCTCTCCTAAGAAATGTGGCTGATTTGGTCCCTGGACCCTCACCTTTCTCTTTTCAACTCAGGGAATCTGCCAGGCTTCATCTTAGTTTCCCCTCTCTGAACCATGCCCTGGAAAATACGTGAAGGCAAGTAAACTGGGGTAATTGTAGGACTCACCTTGCTTATTTCCAATGTCCTTCACTGCTGGTGTCCAGCGCATTGAAAATTGTTGTTTCATATATTTTGTCTGGTTTTTTTGTTGTTTATTTGTTTCAAATGGAAAGGTAAATCCAGCCCCTTCCTTCACCCACCTTGACCAGAAGCAGAAATTGGTAGTTATTATTATTCTACTATTTATTCAAAATATCTGTTGGGCACCTATTTGCATGAGGCGCTGCACTTGGTGCTGGGTATACAGTGATGAATCAACAGTAATGGTCCCTGGCCTCAAGGCTAATCTGTCTTATGGGGATCAACTTGTGTGGAAAGGCAATAAATGTGCTGGTCCCTGGACTTATGCACATAAACACGAATCATATGTGGTCCTTCCTTTCAATGAATTCAGAATTAAGGGAGACAGAGACAGATTTGTTAATCCAAAGCAAACTGTGAAAGGTGTTATGTGTGAGATACAAAGCTTAGGGAGAAGTAAGTAATAAGTTCTGACTGGAGGTATAAGGGAAAACCTCATGGGGAAGGTGACATTTGAGTTGAGCCTTGAATACTGTGTGCAATTTTGAATGGAGGAGTAGAAAAAAGAAGAATGCTGAAGGTGCTTTTAAACTTGAAAGCAGTTAACCATGATTGCCCCTAGCAGACACAGTCCATGGCTTGCTCTTCCTTGCCAACAGAACACTAATCACGTGCTCCAGAGGAAGCTACATATCTTCCAGCTCCAGGAAGTGAATCTTGATTTGCCTAAATCAGCGCTGGAAATTCCATTCTCCTTGCCTGTCACTGGATCAGGCATAGGCCTGTGACACAATTCTGGCCAGTGAGATGTGAAGGAATGTCTGCTGGGAGAATTTTCTTCTTAATAAAGAGAGGAAACACTCCTTTTTTCCCCCCTGCTTCTGAGAGAAAAAACACAAAACAGAAAACCTGGTTTCTTGATGATGTCATCAACCCACTTGGAAAAAAACAAAAGCGTCTCTTGAATTAACCACTCTGAAATTGATCGAACATGAGACTTCTTGTTCCGTGAGAGGACAAAGTTTTCTTATTGTTCTAGTAATTTCTGGTTGGATTTTGTTGTCTTTGATGATGTTACTTGCAGCCAGAAATAATAGATCAGCATACCCCAACCGACCAGCCCATCTTTTTGAAATCTGCTTTTCCTTTCCACTGGTACAAACTGCTGCTAAATGTCACTCCTCTTGCCTCTGGTTCCTTTGCCTCATCAAGAATAAAGATTAAAAATGACAATATACTTAGCCATACATGCACATAGGAAGAAATAAAAGGTAATTTTTAAAATGAAAGAAAGCAATTACACAGTGAAATACCTTGACTATTTAATATCGTCACTCATTCCTGATCCTTTGGTTGAGAGGACTTGTTTCACTCTCATAGGACAGTAGAGGAATGAAAATATAAAAGAATAGAATGTAGGCAAGCCCAGGGGAAATGATATAAACTTCCACATTCACAGCAGTGCTGGAATTCTCTGGTAATTCCCATGGGAGCCAAGACTACCTCTGGAACAATCTAACTGTTGGAAACCACTAGTGTCTGGCAGGAAACCAACTAGAACAGGGTCAAAGGATGTGCCATTCTCATTCCTGAGCGTCTGCATCAATCCCAGGGGCCCAGGCCTGCCGCTAGCAACACTGCAAATAAGCAAAGACTGGCTCCAAACTCCACCCGCTTTCTCATTCCCTTCTTTATCCTCCTCCTCTTTTTCTAGCTTTGATCTTCTTGGCTCTGTGCCTCCTCCCACTCCTCCCCCTCACCCCCCACTCGACAAATCACATCCTGCTTGCCAGATGAGCACAGAAGGTACTAAGCCACCTGCCTCGGGGCCCCTTGCGTTTCAATGGGGAGCTCTTACACACCCAAAGAAATGCTTCGTATTGCTTGAAATCCAAGCCTCTGGACAGGCAGTGGGGGACAAGCCACTCAAGCATAGCACTTCCTGTCTCATGCAAAGGCAGTGCAGGTGGGGTGAGGCACCAAGGAATACATCCGGGTCTCGCTGCCAACCAGTGGGGATGTACAGGCTCACAAGGACTTCACCTCAAACTCTAATGCTCTCTGCCCATTCACACAGAACTTATCCTCCTCTCATATATTCAAACTCCTGCTGCCTGGCTTATCCCTCTCACCTTCTGTCTCAGTTTAGATGTCCCTTCCTCCAGGAAGCCTTCCCAGATCGATCCCCTCTGACATAACCCATGACACTGAATGCCTACCTCCCCAACAACTTGTCATGCTGATTTGCCATCTGTGGCTACTCAGTAAACCGGTGCGCAGCGTAGCCCTGACATTTAGCAGGTGCTCAGTATATTGAATGAATGAATTAGTGAGTCAATGAATGAATGAATATTTGTTCACATACACTATAGTTCTCCAAAAAACATGACTGTCATGTTCCCCAGTGTACCCTCAACACCCAGTCCAGTGTTTAGGCCATGGAAGGCACACAATCATTATTCACTAATTGACCGAAAGAAGTCTTCAAAAGACAGGTACTTGGACCTATACTGCTGTTGATAATGTCCTGTTATCCTTATTGCAAGAGCAAGAAGCACAGCCCAGTGACCTTTTCTAGAGGATCAAGGATGGGGGACGGAGCAAGATGAAGGAGAAGCTCTAGGAGTTCAGCTGCCCAGGGCTATAGGGGTGGGCTCCTCTTCAACCACAGTTTTAGATTACTAGAGGTTCATAACCTGGGGCACACAGTGGGGCTTCAGAAGATCCGTGCATCCTCTGACACTTTAATCAAACATCCAAGCCTGTAGCTGTATGTACATTTTTCTGTAAGAGGGTCCATGGCTTTCAGTGAGCCTCAAAAGGCTGTAACACACAAAGAATCATTGCTCTACCTGAACTGTCCAATATGACAGCCACTAGCCACACGTGGCTATTTAAGTTTAAATGTAAGTTAAATTTTCAATGCCTCAGTTACACTAGTACCTGTCAGGTGTGCTCACTAGCCTCTCCCTATTGGACAGCCCCGATATAGAACGCTTTCATCACTGCATAAAGTTCTACAGAGCTTCTCTATAGCGGTAGCGTTACTCCGGATTCAACGTACAGACAAGATTTGTTTAAGACATGTAGTCCTTTTGTACAGTGAGTTGCCATCCTTTAGAAATGAAAGCAGACATCCGAGATCCTGACTTCTTTTGAGACCATCTGCCAACTTGGGGCCTGCACTCCTCCTGGCAGCCGGAGTGCACAGGGCTGCTCTGTTAAGATGGTCCCTCGTCATGTCGACGTCATCTGCTCGGCCCTCCACCACATTTGAGTTTGCGACCCTTGTTTCTAGGAGACCTCGCCCACCCGGGTCTCCTTCCAGTCTCTTTGCGTTTCTAATCACACTCCAAGTTTGGGTAAGTAGGGTTGAGTTTGTTTTAAGAGCATTTCTTGGGGCGGCGTCTGGGGCTGAGATTCGGGCTCCCAGCTGGAAGCTGGGGAGAGCCAGCGCCTCCCTCCGTTCAGTTCTATGGAACCGAAAGGGGAGAGGGAATTTTACCCCAAACATCTGTTGCTTGACAAAGAACTTCCCGGTCTTCTTACCAGCCCGCCAGTCCCCAGCCCAGTCCGCCTGGGCCCGCCCCTCGCGACGAGATCGCGGGGAGGGGCCGAGGCGAAACCCGAGCCCTGCGCCCACCACCCGGGCGGGCGACGTGGCTCCGCGGCCCCGGCTTCCCCCCGCAGCCCGGCGGCCAATGGGCGCGTGAGCAGGGCCGACTGGCGCTCCCCTGCCCGCTGCCTGGGGCGCGCCCCTCCGCTCTGGCACTGGGCGGGCGCTGGCCGAGGGGCCGGCCCGTCCCCTCCCTCCTCGCGCTGGCCCCAGCCCAGCCGCCGCCGCCGCCGCGCTCGCTCGAGCACGCATTCCCGAGCCGCCGCTCTCATCGCTCGCTCGGTCCCTCCCCGCGGGCCGCTCTCCGCTCCCGACGATGGCGCGCGGCGGCCGCGGTTGCCACCTGGGGCTGGCCCTGGGGCTGCTGCTGGCTCTGGTGCTGGCCCCCACGGCGCTGCGGGCCAAGCCCACGGTGCGCAAGGAGCGCGTGGTGCGGCCCGACTCGGAGCTGGGCGAGCGGCCGCCCGAGGACAACCAGAGCTTCCAGTACGACCACGAGGCCTTCCTGGGCAAGGAGGACTCCAAGACCTTCGACCAGCTCACCTCGGAGGAGAGCAAGGAGAGGCTGGGGTGAGGCCGCGCTCGGGGGCTCCGCAGGTGCCCGCGGGGCCACTCGCGCGGGAGCCGCGCGGACCGCCAGCCGCAAAGCGAAAGAGAAATCGGGCGCCGGGACCCAAGGGCGGGGACCCGGCGGGCCCGGCGGCTGGGCTGGGGCAAAGTTGCCCGCGGGCCCCGGGACCCTGCGTGCTGATCGCCGCCGGGGCCGGGGTGGCTTCCCGGGGGGAGGCGAGAACGTGGCAGCGGTCGCGGGAGCCAGGACGGCCAGGGCCCGCCCCCTCCCCTGGGTTGCATCAGAAGGGAGGGGAGAGAGCGTACAAAAGAAAAATTTGTCCACGGTGGCCTTTTAGTGACATGAGTTCTTCCCCACCCTCCCGGTTTCTCTCTTTCCCCCGCATAACAAGAGAGGAGGGCATGAGACACTGCTAAGGTCTCAAGAATTATCATTAAAGGGTAGAAGATGAAGGGGCAGCCGGATAGGGTTGATTCCTGGCCTATGTCCCTGGGCCGGGACTGGGGTGTTCTTGCCTTCTGCTTTATCGCCCCAATATCGGAAGTAAGGGGTATAAAAATCCTGTTGTTAAGAAGGGAGGGGCATTTGGGGACGGGGGGTGGAAATGGAAACTGGTCCTCCTTTCTGTTTCCAGTAGTTTCTGATGGCAGCAGAGGCACCCAGTCTTTTGGCAGCTGGGGGCAAAAAGCTGGAGGGTGGTGTGGTGACAGGTTGTGAATTTCACTGTTGAAGGCAGTTGAGTCAGGAACCAAACCTGGGAAACAAAACTTGGGTACATCTCAGTGCACCCTCTCCGCGGCCCCTGGGGAGACACTTGAGCTTTGTGCAAAGGTATCTGGGAACCCTTCCACAGAGGAATCAGCAGTCAGCCTGATCCCAGATGGAGACCCGTCTAGGGAGGGTCCCAAGAGCCCTGCCTACTGGGCACCAGGCCTCCAGGAATCTGGTTCCTGGGGGTGGAGGGTCTTTCTGGCCTGTTGCACAAAAAAAGAACACAGCCATCCTTGTGCTGATGGGGGCTACCAAAGGCCAATGTGGTTGGTTAGAATATGAGGCTAAATTATACCTATTGTGTAGGTGCACCATCTGCCTGCTCTGATAAAAACATCTTTGAGCTTCAAAGTCACCTCCCAACAGTCACCTTTTATTTTGCAGAGAAGTACTTTCTCTTCCAGTTTGGGCTTTAACAAAGGGAGCCATTGATGAGTTCAGTCCATTGTATTGCCTTGAGGCACTTGGAAGCTGATTTATTCTGGGGCACCGGGTGGCAGCCGTTTGTCACCAGGGAGGAGGAGGAGAGGTTTGAGGGATTGGAGTAGGGAACTGCACTTTGCAGTCGTAAGGCTTCCAGTTCAATGCCTTCATCATGATGAGTAAGAGAGCAAGTGGTGATGAGCAAGTGGTAATGGAGTTGGTCTGCATTTGACCCTTGTATGAACACCTTAGCTGCATTCATTTTTTTAAAATTTAATTTTATTTATTTTTTATACAGCAGGTTCTTATAAGTTATATATTTTATACATAATAGTGTATATATGTCAGTCTGCATCCATTTATTCACACAACTAACATTTGAAAGGCTACTGTATTCCAGGTACCGTGTTAGATACCTGACAACTACAAAAATAAAACCTTACGTTCTAGGCCATAAAGTACTTATAATCATATGCGGAGGGGAGAGGTTTAAGCAGGTGCTACGCATAATTGCTGTGATGGTGGCATGTAAGCCACAATGGCCGCATCTCGGAGAAAAGGAGCTCCCTAAGGCTTCGGGTTGGAGAAAGTAACTTGGGGGTTTGGGAAGTCACCTGACCAGAGCTTGTGGCACGACTCAGAGGTTACCAGGAGTATAAGCAGGGAAAGGCATCTGAAGAGAGAACAGCCTGCTTATACAGGTTTTGAAATCTGTTCTTGTGGATTCGGGGTGTTGGGACAGTAAAGGGACAGGGCAGGAAAAGTGGGAGGTGGGAGTGGCGAGGAGGCCGAGGGCAGAGCAGGAAGGACCTCTGTGAGGTGGAGATTAGACGTTATTCTGTACATGGTAGAAATGTCATCATCCCAAAAATTCATTAGGAAAGTTGGACTGGCAGTAGGGCAGAGAACATAACTGAGGCACGGATGGCAAGACCAGGGGCACAGGGTGGCCGTGCGCGCCTAAGTCAGGCACAGCGGGAGAGGGTAAACGCAGAGCCACGTTGGAGGTGGGACTGACAGCGCTTGCTTTTGGCTCAGCGTCAGGGTGGGTGGGGGAGAGGAGGGGGCAGTCAAGGGTGGCATCCGTTTTCTGGCCTTGAGCCACTGGATGGGTAGTGGACACACCGCTCACCTATAAGGTAAATCTGGGCTAAATGCAGAGGAGGCTGGAGCATTGGAAATGATGGGTGCGGTATGGGACTGGCAGAGCGTAAGAAGCCATTTCTCTGTCCACAGCTCCTGGTGCAACAGTCCCCTCCAAGTCCGGACTGCAGAGGCAGGAGCATGACTGGATCCAGGCAGCTTTGTCACCACCATCTGCCCATAGATTCTGAAAACATGACAGCTCTAAGGCCCCTGAAGACAAAAAAAAAAAAAAAAAGTGGGGACCCAGAGGCTTCATGCAGTCACAAATGTGCTACGCAGTCTGAGAAAAAAATGTAAATTACTTGCCAACATTTAACATCAAAGCGATTTCCCATACAGCCCCCGATTTCCGGCTTCTCTTGACACCCATGGCCCATTTTTCCATGAGGCAGTCATTGTCTGGAGCAGAGCTGGGCAGCCTTATTGGCAGCTGTCAGGGGATCCCCGGGCTCCCAGGACGCTTTGCTTACTTCCATTACCTGTTACCTGTTTGTTGAGTTCTCCATCCTCCTGTGGAGGGGATTGTCATCCTTAGTGAGGAAAGGCACACATTCTCTCCTCTACTCCTCACAACATTCCTTGTAAAGTAGGTGTTCCATTTACAGATGGGGAAACTGAGACTCAGAGAGTCAAGTCAGTTGCCCAGGATCACACAGGACTAGGGTCCAGGTGTTCTGATTATAGCATTTGGTTTATTTACATCATAGCCTCCTATCCCTAGAGCTCATGTTTGATATTTTTAAAGGGAGAGGTTAAGATTATATATGCTTCCAACAGATATTTATTGAGCGCCCACTACGTGTCAGGCTGAGCTATGTCCTGGATATTTCTTTGGCATAGATTAGATGCTGTCCTTTCCAGAAAAACAGGTTGTATACTGTCTGATGTCGTTTGGTCTTTGCTGGTTTGAGATTCTGCCTCTCAGTTGGCTTTGGATAACGATGGGCATGCCACCACTGTGTCCCCAGGACTGGAGCAGAGTCTGGAGCACAGTAGGTAGGCTGAACACTGCACTGTGTTGAAAGAATTCTGCTGTGTCTAGCTGTGATTTCCTGGAAGGAAGATACTTGAGGTTTAGTCTTTTGGTCTTGAGACCTGTTAAAATTGCAAATGAAGGGACAAGTCAAAGCTGTTAGTAAAGTTTACACCTTCCCGAGAAACAGGAGCTTGGGCTACCCAGGTTCGGATAGGAGATGGAGATTTAAGTGCTAATGAATTCATTTCCATTTCTAATTGATCAAAGAGTAACTGCCGATTTGAACTTCTGTTCACAGTAAGAAAGATATAATTCCAGCCCAAAGCAAAGAAACAAATCCCTAATTAGCCTGTATGACATCATCCCAGGTAAATGGACTACTAGGGTAAAACTTCCTGAAACATTGGAAATAGCTTGCAGGTGTCTTTGAAGTTTCCTTCAGGGATGGCATCCCTAGCTTGGGGCCTTTTGGCCTAGAGATGGACACTGTTGAGTTCCCAGCCTGAAGTTTGCTCTGGACAGGGGTTTGGGGTGCCTTAGTGAAGTCCAGTGGGGAATTGCTGGAACCTGGGCCAGCTGTGGAGCAGGAGATGCCAGTGGGCATAGGGGTCTTCACCCTAAGAGCGAGGGGTTGAGGCCCCTGCAGCTGCTTAGCTGGTCAAGTTTCTTGAATAAATGTCAAGGCTCTTTCATCCCTGACTGGTTTTTTTTTTTTTTTTTTTTTGGCTGTGTTGGGTCTTCGTTGCTGCGCGTGGGCTTTCCCTAGTTGCGGTGAGCAGGGGCTACTGTTCGTTGCGGTGCACAGGTTTCTCATTGCAGTGGCTTCTCTAGGCGCGAAGGCTCAGTAGTTGTGGCTCGCGGGCTCTAGAGTGCAGGCTCAGTAGTTGTGACACACGGGCTTAGTTGCTCCGCGGCATGTGGGATCTTCCCGGACCACGGCTCGAACCCGTGTCCCCTGCATTGGCAGGTGGATTCTTAACCACTGCACCACCAGGGAAGCCCCTCATCCCTGGCATTTTCTGCTTTGTCCAAGATCTGGTCTCCTCCTGCTTTAAGTTTCAAGTCTTTGAATCCAAAGTGGTGAGATTAAAAAAAACAAAAAAAATCCACTTATTTTTTGGTTGGTTTAGTTAGAATCTTCCATCTTTTTCATTGGGCTTAGAGCCAGAGGACATGGATTCTTACCACAGTGGTACCAAATACTCCCTCATTGCTCTAAAATGAGGGAGTTAGACTATATCAGAGAAGACTTCTAGGTTTCATCTTACAAATCAACTCACTCAGTTTCTGCAGAGCACTGTGTTGAGAAGGATTCTGAGGCCACATCAAGGGTTTTTATCAGGACAGAAGGGCCTGATCCACTAGTAATGTCTGCCATTGGCATTGGGTGGTTGTGGGGAAGGCATATCATCCTTGGAAAAGATAAACTTCAAGATCCTTTCCAGCACCGTCGGATCATTGATTTTATTTTAGCATTTATGCATCTTAGATTCTGCAGGTGTTTGATCTCTTTCTGGAGCAGGATCACACAAGCCTTGATAATAGCATTGTGGGTTTTTTTTTTAACTACAGGAAGATTGTCGATCGAATTGACAGTGATGGGGATGGCTTTGTCACCACCGAGGAGCTGAAAACCTGGATCAAACGGGTGCAGAAAAGGTACATCTACGATAATGTCGCCAAAGTCTGGAAGGATTATGATCGGGACAAAGACGATAAAATTTCCTGGGAAGAATACAAACAAGCCACCTACGGTTACTACCTAGGTAAGAGGTGCTGCAAGAGCAATTACACAGCTGGGGCCTGTGTAACAAGCTTCTTGTGGGAAACTATACTGTCTCATCATATCTACCCGCTTTGGGGAGACATCTCAACCTCCTAAGTAAAAACTGCATGTGTAACATCCTGCTCTGCTTACTAAGAATACACCAAGTTGCTTACTGTGAGTGAACTTGTAGGTGGAAGGGGGCAAGGGTCTAATAAAAAATAAACTGCTCCCTAACCTGAGCTTACAGTCTCAGAGGTACACCCAGAGAACAAAGCAGAGAGGAAGCATGTTTTATGTTACAGTTTCAGAATGCTGCCGAGTTTCAGGTAGCAAGGACCAAGTAAGCTGGAACAGTCCAGGAAGGCTTCCTGGTGGAGGGTGGCTTGGGAACTGGGCCTTAAAGAATGGATTTGTATCTGGAGAGATAGAGACGGGTGGGGAAGGTGGGTCAGCTGGAGGGGCAAAGGTGCAGCAATGCATTCAGCAATGCCCTGGAGGGGCAGGGTTTGGACATAAGTCATGCTTGTTTTGGAGGAATGATGGAGGGGGTGTGTGCCCAGCACTGGGTGCAGACCCGCTAGGTGTCTGGCAGAGCCGAGAGGGGACAGGCCTGAGGAGAACCAAAGACACATACACTGCCAGCCAGATTAAGAGAGGTCTTGAAAAGAGTCGAAGGGACATTTAGAATAGATGTCCTGGGTACTAGGGAGCCTCTGTATGTTCTGGATCAAAGAATATAATGAAAGTAGGGTTCTGCAGAGAGAAGTATGGCATTAATATGGTCTCAAGCCTATGCTTTTCACCGCTTGCTGTAATGCCCCTAACAAGTCTTTAGGGCATGGACTGTATGGTGGTATGGAGGGACAGACACTAGAGGCATTCTGAAATAAAATGTTTCGAAGAACTCGATAGGTCAGGACCTTTTGTCTTCTATGTACCATTTGGCGTGAAGGAGGAGTGATGTGGGAGAAAACGCCTTAAGCGCCCGGTTTTCACGTTTCTGTGTACACCCTCCAGGAAACCCCACAGAGTTTCATGATACTTCAGATCATCACACCTTTAAAAAAATGCTGCCACGTGACGAGAGAAGGTTCAAGGCTGCAGACCTCGATGGTGACCAGACAGCCACCCGGGAGGAGTTCACCGCCTTTCTGCACCCTGAGGAGTTTGAGCATATGAAGGAAATTGTGGTTTTGGTAAGATATAGAAAGAGCCTGCGCTGGCAAAAGACCAGGACGAAAGCTGCACGGAAACCTTGTCCCTTCCTGCAAAGTGAGAACGTTCTTCAGCCTGAAGGGGATGGGACAAGGACCCTGAAGTGGAATACACCGGAATACCTGTGTACCCAGGAGATCAGTCAGGGCAGGGTAGCTGCCGTAGCAAGTAGCCCCCAATCCCAGCCATTTAACACAATCAAAGGTTATATCCAGTCCCGGCAGATGGTCCCGGTCAGGTGGATCTCCTGGGCAGTTCTTCTCCAGTGTTGTCAGGCTCCCAGTCTACTTCCATCTTGTCCTCCACCATCCTGTGGCTTTGAGGTCATCCTGGCCACTACCAGCTGGTAGATAGAAGAAGAGAAGGACCGAGGAGGAGGCATGGCCTGCCTTCACTGTCCCGAGGGCTCCTGCCACACATAACAAGGCAGGGGAATGCAGTCTAGATGTGTGCCCAGAAAGAACAAATGTGCTTAGTGAGCAACGAGCTCTCTGTCCTATCTGAGGGAAAAACAAAAAGACTCAGAAATGGAATGCATTGTACTGTCAAATCATACAGAAACTCAAAGTCGGACCATGCTTGGAAAGGATGCTCCCCTTGGAGTATATTTGCTTTCCAGTGTCTTGTTGGGTCCCACCTGTCTTCGTTTTCCACGACAGTAACATAAATGCTATCACCTGTTTTCAGGGCCGATATCCCAAGGCAGTTCCAATTGTTTTGATGCTGGGAGACAACCAGCTCTGGACCCAGTCGTGGATGGGCTCACTCTTGCCTCATGCTTCATCCTTATGACCACAGTGACCCCAGGGACTGGGCAGTGGCTTTAAGAATCATTCCTTTTTACCACCCAACACCTACTTAATGATAGCTAATCTGACACAAGACGGTGAAGATGGGGAAGTGGATTATGGGCTTCTGATTGGCTCTGTTCTCAGGTTAGCCATTTTCTCCAGGATGCCTTTGAGTTTCTGTGACATGGACAGTAGACTCATTTAATTAGCAGAAAACCTAGTTAAGAAGTCAAATGTATGGATACTAAATACACAACATAATACATTCGGAAGTCAGATATACTTTTAGTTTCTAATTGCCCAAAATAGTTCCGTATTTTTCTGACACCAACTCGGTGTTCAGGGTCCAGTCAGCACTGGAATCTGTCTTTGTGATCATTTTAGTCCAGTGGTTCTCAGGCTGGGTTCCTCCCAGTACACAGAGATGATCTGGCCGGAGGGTGGAGACGGTTGACCTGGCAGGGCTTCCTGATATAATTAGAGTGCCTCTGGGCTTGTAGGTACATTTTCAGTTGCAGAGAGGGTGCTGCTTTTAAAATCCCCCTCCCCCCTTTGCTTCCTAGGAGACTCTGGAGGACATCGACAAGAATGGGGATGGCTTTGTAGATCAGGATGAGTATATTGGTAAGTGCTGGCCTGGAGTCTTGCTCCAGTGTCCCAACTGGGCAGCGTCCTCCACCCACATGTCTGGCTACTTTCCTCAGATGACTCTTTCAGCAGCAGCTGTAAGTCTGTAGGTGTCACTCCTGTGACTTCCCAGTGAGAGGGGCTTGTCACACCAGCCCTAGCGGTGCAGATTCAGGGAGGCATTCTTAGTGGAGCAGAGCCCAAAAGGCTGGCCGCACCCCAGGGCTGGCCAGCAGTTGATCCCTCGGCTCTGAGAGGTGCCCTTCATCACTCCGTGTAGTTCTACCTTTGCGAAATGAGACTGGAGATCCCAGAGATGTACAGTGAAGCTAGAGCGGACAGTCTCAGGGGACAGACTTTACAACAGACTGTTAGCCAGCGGGGCCTAGAAACTGGGTGGACGGAGCTGTGGTCAACAGAACTGTTTACATGCCCGAGTTCTCTGCAGAAAGGCATTCCTTCTTAGGTAAATCCTTTTACAAAGTGCACGATTGCCCCATAATATAGCCGTCTTACGCCTCTGGTTTTTGGTCTTTCATTGGGAGTACTGTTCCTAGTTTTTTGTTCTGAAGGGCTCCACTTAAGCAACATCAAGAAGTGTGTTTGCAGGTAACTGAGCCCTGGCTGAATGAGGCTCCAATTAGTGCCCCGGGTCAGACACCGCCCAGGAGCCCTCCCAGCATGAAGGACTAGAGAAGGCGGCAGGGATATTTCCATTTGATCCTCTGCGGCTGCTACTTCAGTGCTTTGGCACGTGGCCCCAGCTGCAGGCCACCTTCTCGTGATAGCTCTTCTTTTCCCAAGTCTCAGTAAAGTAAAAGCTGGAAAATCATTTGAAGGATGCGATGGATATAATTTTTGTGCAGATTTTTTTTTTTTTTGTGGTACGCGGGCCTCTCACCGCTGTGGCCTCTCCCGTGGCGGAGCACAGGCTCCGGACGCGCAGGCTCAGCGGCCATGGCTCACGGGCCCAGCCGCTCCGCGGCATGTGGGATCTTCCCCGACCGGGGCACGAACCCGTGTCCCCTGCATCGGCAGGCGGACTCCCAACCGCTGCGCCACCAGGGAAGCCCATTGTGCAGGTATTTAACAGAGGCAGTTAATTACCTTTCAACGTAAAAGAAGAGCCCGTGTTGCCATCAGTCTCTGGTGTGTGGTTGTACTACTTTGCCACCCCATACAGAAGAATAAGTGCCTTCTGAATGAAGAGCAAAGTTTCTTCTAATCGTTTGGAATTATATTTGATCTGAAGAACCAAACGTTGTCCCCCTCTGTCTGTGGTAACAGATGGGCAGCTCTCGCCACAGTAATTAAAGCCACCTCGGTGGCACTACCTTTCTTTGTAGAATAACCAATGCTGACAGCCCCGTCATCAGTGCAAGCAGCAGAGCCTGCCTCAGGCCTGGTACACGTGCGTGTGCGGGAAGGTTCAGATCCCCAGACACCTTGACAGTGGTGGCGGAATTAGACTGACAGGGAAGGCTGACTGATTAAAACGATGTAGCACTTTTGATTAAAACTAGGTGCTCTCCCCACCCTCCTCCTGATCTGCATTGAAAGGGTGCAAAGTCAGGGGCAAACTCTTTGAGCGGCTTTGTCTAAAAGAAACATTCCATTCTTTACACTGGCAGAGAGGGAGGTAGGCTCATTGTTCTTGAAAACTGAATTCTGAGTGACTTGGAGTCAGAGAGACCGGATGTCCAGACTTGTCTAGCAAGTGACTTCAATTTATGGAGGAGCCTTCTCGGCAGGCAGAGACAAGTGGAAACCGGTGGTGATGTAGCGTAGTGGGAAGAACACTGGAATTAAGAGTCCTGGCTTCTCCGCTTACTAGCTTTGAGACCCTGTGGGAGTCGTGTAATCACTCAGTATAAGCCTGTTTCCTTATCTGTAAAACGGGAAGACACAGCAGCCATGTTTCCAGGATGGTGTGGGTCTACTTGTAGTTGAACGCAGGGTCTTGCCTCTCTTTTTCCTTCGTTCACTACCTACTGTCTCTACCATCTGACATTTCCAAGCTGTTTCCATCAAAAGAGAAATTGCCCTCAGGGTATCTCTTTTCCAAGAAGATCTAGTAGCTTAGCAAACAATGGATAAACTTTGCCTTCTTTTTCCTTTCCCTGCCATTTTCTAAAAGGAGGGTATTTATCTATCTTATAAAATTGCTATAAGGATGAAATAAAATATATGTGAAAGCCCCCTGGAAATGATATAAACAACAATTGTAGTAAACACAGTGGTTAAGACAATGGGTTGGAAGCAGCGTGCCCATGTTCCTGTGTAGCCTACTGCATTCTCATACTAGCTGTGGGTCCTTGGGTTAAGGCTGTGCCTCGGTGTTTTCATCTATAAAGTGGGAATAACGACACCTAACTTCATAGGATTGTAATGAAAAATCAAATTTAAAAAAGTATGTGCTTTACACAGCATCTGGACCATAGAAAGTGCTGTTATTGGTCATTGTTATTAGTTTTCACCTGTATAGTTCCAGGCTGGGTTGTAGAGGGCTTTCACATTTGACCTTCATAATAACCTTCTGAGTAATAAGTTACTGTCTCCACTTTACAGACGAGGCACTGAACTAAGTCAAAAGCCAGGATTCATCTTCTGGCTCCCAAGCACAGTTCTTTCTCGCCCACTAAGTGGCCTTCATAGTGGATAAATCATTGCATTATTTACCCAAGAGACTGCCCCCAGGTGTCTGGTTAGGTCTCTAGATTGCTAGAGGTCAGGTTTTCTTGGACTTACCTTCCCACTTGTCTTTATAACCAAGAACAGCCTTTCCTTCCAGCTGATATGTTTTCCCACGAGGAGAATGGCCCTGAGCCAGACTGGGTGCTGTCAGAACGGGAGCAGTTCAATGAATTCCGAGATCTGAACAAGGACGGGAAGCTGGACAAAGATGAGATCCGCCACTGGATCCTCCCACAAGACTATGACCACGCACAGGCTGAGGCCAGGCACCTGGTGTATGAGTCGGACAAAAATAAGGTATTTCAGCATCCTCTGGAATCATTCCTTGAAGGGAGACAGTTTACATAAGATTGGTTCTGTTTGCTTCTTTGATGTTTGCCTTGGCCCATGTGGCCGTGTCCTTATTGACTTCTCTCATTCCTGCCCTACATCAGAGACCTGTGAACTTCAGCCAACACCGTGATAACCCACGGTGAGCTCATTAGGCCCAGACGTTCCTGTTCCTGAAGAGTCTGCTGTGGGTCACACTTAACGTTCACTGCCATCTCCTAGGATCGCAGAACCGGTCACTTTGTTGGCTGTGGGCAGGCATGGATTTAAGAGGTGTGCCCTGTGTTGCCCTAGGACAAGCTTGTTCATCCATTCATTCAGTCAGCAGACACTCTTCAGACATCTGCAGCATGTGAGGCAGAAGGAAGCCCCATCACATTAAAGTCTCGGCATCCTCAGGCCAGCTCACCGTGCTGGCTCCGAGCCAATATCTCTTGGTCAGTATCCAAATAAATAAATAAATAAAGAAGATTTAGAAAGAAGTCCTGCCTCTTCCCATTTTGATCACAGCTGCAAATTCTCGGGAGACAGTCAAGTTTTGCAGTCAAGCCATAAAAGGGAAGTAGAATTCTTTGGGGCCTGTCTTGGGAATGCCAGCACTGTGTGTAGACATAACTGGACTCCGGCTCCTCAATTCCTTGAGGACTTTTCTGATATATTTTAGCACAGCTTTTGTAGCAGGAGGCTGTTCCAATTTGGGGTTTTGCAGGGCAGTGATGGTAGATGAAGGAGGTACCTAGTAGCTTATTATGAAATGTAATATTTTAAATGTTGCAGATCAATGAAATACCATGAGCTTCATGCTGTGATGACTCCGAGTGACCAGAGTTTCTGTGACAGAGCTCTTTTCTCTCTCCTGCAGGATGAAAAGCTCACTAAAGAGGAGATCTTGGACAACTGGAACATGTTTGTTGGAAGTCAGGCTACTAATTATGGGGAAGATCTCACCAAAAACCATGATGAGCTTTGATGCACATTCACCATAATATGACAGACTGTCATAGGCTTTCTTTTATTGTCCTGGATAATTGCTACAATTATCTCATTTACAGCAGTTGTGTCCCCCCCAAAAGCAAGTTTATCACCTCAGATTGGGGTTAAAATTATTTTTTACTCAATATTTGCTGGAAAATAGTCATCACTGATCTTTGAGTAAGGTTTCTGTCCAAACACATTAAAATCTTGGTAAATTACAATGCTCTGTGGGGATACATTGCTAAAACATGACTTTTTAGCTTTTTCCATGAAATTTGAACTGAAGGGGAATAAAATTTGAAAAAGCCCTATTATTCAGAAGTTGGGTGAGCGGGGAGAGGGCACTATAGGGAGTGACTGCTATGTATTTTAACTGCAGAGTTTTTACATTTGCCACTGTTAAATAATTGGTGAGGGAAAATTCTGATTAAGCTTCAGTGGTATCTCATCCTACACAGGCTTCTTTCAGAGCAAGGCTGATATTTCAAATTCTTCTTCTTGACTTTGTACTCTGAGCTGTTACTGTAAGTGGCATATAAATCTCTGTGCATTCTTCTATATGGACCTGCTAATGTGCACAACAGATCCACCCATCTTTGTTTTTTGTTTTGTCTTTGTTTTTTACAATAAGAAGCAGTTAAGAAAGGTTATGTGAAAAAGAAAGGAATTTTAAAGGTAGGGAGAAAAGATGAATGTCAGGCATTTGAAGAACTACAGGAAAATGGTAAACACTTTATCATACTTGAGAAATTTTTCTTGACATGTAAATGAAGCAGATCTGATCTTTGAAAAAGTGAATAGAAATCCAATCCATTTCCTTGCTGATCTCTGATAGGAATAGGGAGTAGGGTCCTAGGAAAGCCTGCTTAGTGGAGCTCTGGAACCCATCTCATCCAGTCCTGGTGAATCCACAACCCTTGGACCTGCCCTGGGACCACTTACACCATGTAATTGACAAAGCAGGTTCCAAGCCACTGGCTGAACTGGAAGAAATAACTTTTACAGGTTGGACTTCCACCTTATAAGGAGAAAGTGAATGAAATAAAGGATCCCTCTGAGGATTTTCTACTGTGTCCTGTGGTGTTTGACTTCATATGTACCATTTGTGACATTATTCACTGTTGATAGAGAATTTAACAGTGGGATGAGATGACATGAGTAAGATTATAAAAGTTTTGCATTTTAAAAATCCAACTATTAGAATGTTCAGAACATATTCATATTTACTTATTTAATACATATATACTTCTCTATGCTAATTAGAGAACGTGCAGGTCATTTTAATGGTAAGACCTTTCAGAGACAGGTTTCAGTTGGAGGAAAATCTGGACTTCTTATCAAGGCCTAGGAGGCCCTATAGCAACTGGTCCCTTCCCAACTCATCAGCCCCACTCCCTTTCACCTCCCATAGCAGCCCCACTGACTTTCTGGTCCTCAAACACACCAAGTTCATTTCCAGGTTGGGCCCTTTGCACTTGCTATCCTTCTGATCTGGAACCCCCATCTCACACATACTGGGGTAACTCAAAACATACTTCCTCAGCAGGACCTTCCCGACTCCATTATTTGTAGCAGTCCCATTTGAGTCCCCGTCTCATTTCCCTGTCTTATTTTCTCCTTGGTATGTACCTGTTGCCATTTGTATTTGTCTCCTAGGGCTACCATACAAATTACCACAAAAGAGGGTGGCTTTCAACAACAGAAACTCACAGTGCAGGCTGGAGTCTGAAATCAAGGTGTTGGCAGGACTGGGCTCCTGAATGCTCTAGGGGAGAATCCTTCCTTCCTTGCTTCTTCCTGCTTCTGCTGGCTCCAGGCGTTCCTTGGCTGTGGCTGCATTACTCCACTCTGCCTCCATCTTACGGCCTTTTCTTCCTCTCTCTGTGTCTGTCTGCTGTGTGTCTCTTATAAGGACACTTGTATTGGCTTTAGGGCCCACCTGGATAATCAAGGGTGATCTAATCCTAGATCCTAAATTACATCTGCAAAAAGCCATTTTTCCAAGTAAGCTCACATTCACAGGTTCCAGGAGTTAGGAGGTAGACATATCTTTTGCGGGTGCCACCATTCAACCAAATGTACCATTTGACACTATCTTGTTTGTATGTTGTCCATCTTCTCCAAGCTAGTACATAAGCTCTGTGACAATAAGAGCCTGATTTGTCTAATTTACTGCTGCTTCCCAGGACCTAGAACTGTAGAGCCTAACCTACAATAACTACTCTGTAATTATTTGCTGAATGAATGAGAGGTTGTAGCTTTAATCAAAGAGAATACTCCTGGGGGGATACTACAAAAAAATTTTACAAAATAGCTAACATTTGCTGAACGAAAAGTAATTTGCCCAAGATTCCAGAGTGATTATATGGCAGGACCAGAACTCAAATCCAGGTGTTCCTTGCTCCAAAATCTCTGCAGTTTAACACTAAATTTTACTGCTCCAAATCTCTGAATCTATGTTCACTTTATTTCTTTGCTCACCCACAGTAGATGTGGTCAGGAAATGAGAATAACTCCTCTTATATAAATAACTCCTCTTAAATAGGCTGACACATTTTTTTCAAGCAATGAGAACCTGTCTTTTAAAAAATGAGAAAATAATATAACCCAATTATAAGCATAACACTTTTTTTTTTTTTTTTGCGGTACACGGGCCTCTCACTGTTGTGGCCTCTCCCGTTGCGGAGCACAGGCTCCGGACGCGCAGGCTCAGCGGCCGTGGCTCACGGGCCCAGCTGCTCCGCGGCATGTGGGATCTTCCCGGACCGGGGCACGAACCCGTGTCCCCTGCATCGGCAGGCGGACTCTCAACCACTGCGCCACCAGGGAAGCCCAAGCATAACACTTTTAAAAGGTGCTAACGTTATTTTTCCCCCAAAAGGGAATACTGGTTAGTTTATTAAGTTATACATAGTAAGACATTAGATATATTTTGAGCACTAAGTTTTTCCTTTCAAGTCAGTGCACATAAGAAGAGAACCCTCAAAGAGACTAGTGCTTCTGGGGCTGAATTTAACACTATTTAAGGAAAGAAAACCTTAGCTAGGGGACATAGCTGTTAACATGGTGATTTGTAAAGCCTTAGATTTCTAATAGGGTCTGACTGTTTCAAGGAAAACATATTTTGTTTCTAGGTAACATTTCAAGTCTGATTATGAACAAATGCTACAAACTCGATCTGTAATGGGAAATACTGTTATGTCACAAAGCATTATTTATATGCTTAATGTGATTGAAAGCATTAATTGCTAGGAGCCAAAATCTGTCCAAGCAAAACATGAACACATATTTTGTACCTCTTGTCCCTTACTGTAGATTTTTGAACGAATTCGAGTGTAACAAAGATGTAGTTAGAAAATCTGCACACCTGAAGGTTTTCTTTACCCGCTTGGATTACTACTGTACTTGTTCCTTGTTAGCAAATGCAGGAGTCATATCTGCTCAGAAGTGCCCAGCAAACAACAGCTACATGCCTACTTGTTAGCAGCTCAGCAAAAACATCGTATGGCGTAAAGTGGTGAATGGCTGACTGGATTTTTAAAAAGTCTAGATTTATTTTGCCACCTTTGTAGTAAAATCTAGCTTCCTCCAAGTACACGCAACTAAAGATTTGGCTCTCTCTGTATTGTTTTTATTATTATTCTTTCTGTATTCTTTTTTTTAAGATTTTTTTTTTGATGTAGACAATTTTTAAAGTCTTTATTGAATTTGTTACAATATTGCTTCTGTTTTATGTTTTGGTTTTTGGGCCCCGAGGCATGTGGGATCTTAGCTCCCGGACCAGGGATCAAACCCGCACCTCCCACATTGGAAGGCAAAGTCTCAACCGCTGGACGGTCAGGGAAGTCTCTCTTTCTGTATTCTTAAAACAAGTTCATAGCTCTAGAACTTACCACTAAAAACCAATGAGTGTCATAACACCCACCACTTTGGCTCACATTCAAGTTTTAAAATTTTGAGCAGTGGGAAGATTGTGTCATCAGCACTTAAACTCACGAGATTTACATGAACTTGGAGCTGTGTCCAAAAACCCATCTGCACTCTCAGTTCCGGTCAGTTCCAGGGTCTGGGTCTGGGGAAACACCCAAACTGGATTTGAGGTAGTTATAAAGGTAAGGTAAGTAATGCACATGCAAGAACTGCAAGGACTGAGTTTTCCCTGATGACCTTCCTCAGGTGGTCAAATGCCAGAGGTCAGATAGATCAATGCCTGCCAACACCAGGCTGCTGGTTAGTGGTCTTGCCAAGATTTAGAATTCTTGTGTGAAGTGCTTTAAAACCTGAAAACTGATCTATTATTGGGTGAAACTGAATGGATTAAATGACAAAGGAATAGCTTTTTATTTTTTATAAATTTATTTTATTTATTTTTGGCTGTGTTGGGTCTTCGTTGCTACGTGTGGGCTTTTCTCTAGTTGCGGAGAACGGGGGTTACTCTTCATTGTAGTGCTCAGGCTTCTCATTGTGGTGGCTTCTCTTGTTGTGGAGCACAGGCTCTAGGCACACGGGCTCTAGGCACACGGGCTCTAGGCGCACGGGCTTCAGTAGTTGTGGCTCGCGGGCTCTAGAGCGCAGGCTCAGTAGTTGCGGTGCACGGGCTTAGTTGCTCCGTGGCATGTGGGATCTTCCTGGACCAGGGCTCAAACCCATGTCCCCTGCATTGGCAGGCGGATTCTTAATCACTGTGTCACCACGGAAGCCCAGGAATAGCTTTTAATGTTGTTTTTGTCACGGTCAGGGTATTCCAAAACTAGTTATATGTGGTAGGGATTTGGAATGTAATTCAGAAGCAGATCAAAGACTCTCTGCACATTCAAAAACATTCAGAGACCCAGCTGGGAAAGGTTATATTTTCAGAGGAGGAAACTGAGGCCCAGAGAAATTAAGCCTGTGCTTTTCCCTTTCTCAGGACTGAGGCAGAGGTTGGACTAGAACACCTTTGCCGACTCCAGATGTTCTCATCTGAAAAATGGCCCCAATAACTCTTACCTTGTAGAAGAGAAATAGGATGAATTAAGGTAACAAACATAAAGCATTTTGTGTGGTCAGTGCTCAGGAAATGGTAACCATTTTTATTATTACACCAAAATAAGGTCCTTACGTATTTCAGCATCAAAGATTTTGTTTATTTGTGGTTCATTTTAGATTTCCACGTGTGGCATTAGTGACTGATGGAGGTTGTGGATTTATCAGAAAATTGTCAAAGGTGTTTGTTGTTTTAAGTATATGAAAGTTTTGTGTTTTTTTTAAGGTTCACAACTTAAAAATAAAAGAGTTCACATGGTTATTAAGTATAAGAAGCTGAGGACATTTAATGACTCACATCAGATTAGCGGTCCTAAGCCACAGCAAGTATGTGGCCGTGCTGCTAAGATATTTGAGATAAAGAAAGATGCCCGTAGAGAGCACGCCCAGGTGACTTGAGAGTCAGACCCACTCATTAGCTGAACGACTTTAGGCCAATTACTTGCACTCTGCAAGCCTCCTTTTCCTCTTCTGTAAAAGGAGGCAAGAGCAGCACCAGCCCGGCTGGGTGGTTGTGGGGGGCTCAGTGAGGCCCTGAGTGTGAAGCACTTTGCCCAGGCCTGACGCAAGGAGATGCTTGATCGGTGGAGCTAGGTGACTCTCATAAACGGTAAAAAATACCCTCTCCTAAGGGTGAAAAGACATGCTAAGGAATAAAAAGAAACCATCTGGAGAATGAAATATTGCCATTTGCAGCAACATGGATGGACCTAGAGAATATTATACTTAGCGAAGTAAGGCAGACAGAGAAAGACAAATATTATTTGGTATCACTTAATAGTGGAATCTAAAAAATAATACAAATGAATCTGTATACAACACAGAAACAGACTCAAAGACATAGAAGACAAACTTTTGGTTACCAAAGGGGAAAGGGAGGGGGTAGAGATAAATTAGGAGTATGGGATAACAGATACAAATTACTCTATGTAAAATAGATAAGCGACAAGGATTCACTGTACAGCACCGGGAATTATATTCAATATCTTGTACTAACCTAAATGGAAAATAATCTGAAAAAATATGTACAACTGAATCACTTTGCTGTACGCCTAAAACTAACACAACATTGTAAATCAACTATGCTTAAATTAAAAAAAAAATTGTTTAGAGGATCATCTACACTTTATTTTCTGGCAGGCGCGATTCCCATACAAACCTTCACACTGGAGCCGGGCTCATCAGCCACAGGAAGCCCCGCCGGAAGTCTTCAGGAAGGCCCACCGGCTTGCTGATGGCTGGATTCACAAAGACATGGACTGAAGACCCAGTGGTACAGGCCAAAGCGGCAAACTGCGCCAGCTTGGGGTGGCCAAAGAAAAAGCCATCACTGAGGTGCCGGAGATCGACGGAAGGTGGCTCCTTGGTGGGCTTGGGGGTAAACAGAGCAAGGCGGTAATGCACGCTGGAATGACCAACTTTCTCCATGACCAACACAGCCACTGCGATCTGAGGAAAGCCGACCGGTGAGTGGAAGGTGCACTGATTGGTCACTATGAACCCCACCATGGGGGACATCAGCAAGCCCGTTTTCAGGCCGCAATATCTGGAAAGTTACATCACAATGCTTATTCTGTATATAACATTGTATATATTGTATACATTTAATATACTAACAGTTGTTATACATTGTATAACATTGTGTAACATTTGTTATACCATTGTATATACATTGTGTATACATTATATAACATTCAATATACTAACAGTTCACAGATACGGTAAGTTCTCATTAAACATTGGCTATTATTATTATTGCATCCATCTTGTCCTCGCTTCTCATGGTAAAAAATCAGGTACTTTTGTGTAAATGAAAGAGAATTATTGTGTCTCTTATATCGGCTACTAGATTGTAATCTCTTTAAGGACAAGGACTTTGTCTTGTTTCTGAAGTTTGTTGACAAGAAATAAGGCTGTGCTTGAGATAAACGTGGAGGTTGAGCAGAATCGGAAATAAAACATCGTATGCTGAGTTACAGTTTCTTCCCTCCGCTCCAAAGAGGCCCCCTTGTGATTTAAAAATTTTAATCACATTGTCTTATTGTCTTCTTTTTTTTTTTGAGAAAGTTAAGACTGAATGTGAGAATTCACTCTAAGGAAACAATTGTGGGTTGTACTAAGTTCGCCTGTAAAGCTGCTCACTGAACCATGGTTCACAGAAACAAGCTACAAGTCTCCATCCAGGGAGGGCACCATGGGTGCCTGTGGCTGGCTACCTGAGCATCCACTGATGTCACCCATCATGACATTAGATACATTCATTTACTGACATGGAGATCTGTCCAGTGAAAAAGATCACATTACGGAACAGTGTGTACCATTCTATCTCGTTTGTTATTATAAGAATATACTGGTTTACGTCCTTATTGCTTAGAAAAAACTTTGAAAGGATAGCCTCCCAAATGGTTTCAGTAGTTATCTAGCAGTAGAATTTTGGATAATTTTTTCCTTCTTTTTGCCTCTATGAATTTTCCAGAATGAATATGATTTGCCTTTGAAATTAAAAAAACAAAGTGTTTTTGTTGTTGTTGTTGTTGTTTTTGCGGTACGCGGGCCTCTCACTCTCGTGGCCTCTCCTGTTGCGGAGCACAGGCTCCGGACACGCAGCCTCCGCGGCATGTGGGATCTTCCCGGACCGGGGCACTAACCCGTGTCCCCTACATTGGCAGGCGGACTCTCAACCACTGCGCCACCAGGGAAGCCCCAGTGTTATTTTTTTTTTTAAATGTCTGAATATGAATTTCATTAAAGCACTGGAGAGAGAAGCAGACTGGAGAAGCAAGGCTCCTTCTTCTGCCCGTTGGGATCCTGCCCCTGGCTGTCCTCCCTGAGAAGCCTCCCTCCTGAGCAAGTGAGAAGGAAAAGGGAACAGGAAAAGAAATCCCTGCTCTTCAGTGCGACTCCGAGATCCAGTGAGAACCAAATTCTCCCATTTTCATTTCCCATGCTTCTTTGCTGCAATTGCTTTCCTAGTGCTCTGCCAGCTTTTCCTCATTCTCTTAAGGCACTGACAGTAAAGACATAGTGCCTCTTCCCACCGGGAGTACAGTATGTCCTGAGCTCCCTGTAACTCTGAGCCAGGCCACGAGACCTTTAAATAATTAAAATGCAGGAGGACTTTTAAACAATGCCATCGATGAGCACCTGGTCACCAGGGCTGTGCTGGATCCTTTACATTTTGTATTCAGTCTTCAAAACCATCCTGCAAGGTAGGTCTCATTTTCCCCATTTTACAAGAAAGAAAGTAAAGCAGGGAGGCTGAATAAATTTTCCAAAGGCATGCATGCAGTAAGTGGTGGTCTAGGCCCAAACCTCAGGCTCTCTACAGACAAAGTTCACATTTTCTCCTTCATTCTGGCTTACTAGGTAAAGCCAAAATCTACATTTTAGTCCAGTGAAGGAACTGCATCTTCTTTAAGTGTTCCTGTGACTTTAAGAATTACATTTTCTTGGACTTCCCTGGAGGCGCAGTGGTTAAGAATCCACCTGCCAATGCAGGGGACACGGGTTCGAGCCCCGGCCTGGAAATACCCCACATGCTGCGGAGCAACTAAGCCGGTGCGCCACAACTACTGAGCCTGCGCTCTAGAGACCGCGAGCCACAATTACTGAAGCCCGTGCGCCTAGAGCCCGTGTGCCTAGAGCCTGTGCTCTGCAACAAGAGAAGCCACCACAATCAGAAGCCTGCGCACCGCAACGAAGATTAGCCCCCGCTCGCCACAACCAGAGAAAGCCCATGCACAGCAACAAAGACCCAACGCAGCCAATAAAT